AGAGATCAAAATCTTATGGGGCGATATAGCTCAACCTTCTTTCACAATATGGGTGAGTCCCTTGTTGGTCTCGTCAGGATAAAATTGCATTCTGATGTACCAAATCACTTTAGTGGCATGATCTTGTTCTCAATATACGACATATCTTATTCATTCTCCTGCCACTCGTTGTCTGCTATGCCCCAAATATCCAAATTCCCTTCATATCAGGTCCCGCACCGTCATCCAACGTTGACACCTCCGCTCTTCTAGTTCAAACACACCAAACCATGAACCACCTACTCCCTGTCATACACCTTGTGAAATATGGGCAAGCTGCCATTATGCGCGTCCCAGAGCTTCGTGAACGTGCGTCTTCATGGTGGGAAGAGGAGGCGAGAGTAGGTGCATGGATACGCGGGGACGGTGTGGAGGACACAGGTTCACGTCCGAGCGTGCGTGGTGTCGCGAGGGGACTTGGAACTTCGTTTGATGAGGGCGGGGAAGGTGTTGAGGAGGGCAAACTGCGCACGAGCGCGAAAGTGATGACGAAGATCCTGATGATTGACGGTTTGAAGCCAAGTCCACAACAGCCTCACCAGGAGAAGTAGTTGCAGAATTTGTATTATCCTGTCGCACTAATGTATAACAAGGTTCACAACGGATATACACATAGATAATGGGGACAAAATTGTCTCCAATGAGCAGACAATGTGTCTAGCTCGAACATTCAAAACAGCTATTTATTGTCGACTCGTTGAAGAAGTCGGGTTGCCCACGCCCAATTCCCGGGCTCCATTGGAAGGACTCTTGGGCGCTATCGAAATGCCTGCAGTTACGTACAAACCCCGAAAATATGTTAAAGTTACGTCCCAAATTGTTTGCACGGTACACATGACCGACCTGCTGGTATTTTTTTCTCTTGATCATTCAAACTCTATCTTACACGATCTCTGCATCGGAAATTTAACAGGCAATTGTTCTCCCATCCTATTTTTGCTTCTTCCACCCAGTTGGTGAACGCGGATCCCGTCATTTATTCTAATGGACGGAGCTGTGTTCTTTTGTCGCTCTTCCATTTCAAGCTCATGCAATAATACCTGATTATGGAGATGAATCAGTACCGGTTTTGTGATCTCTAATGTCTATCAACAGCAAGGTCCATTGCTCCCATTACCTGTAAGCACCCAGTTGCTAGAATGGTCTTCTCCCCGCCGGTCATTATGATATCGGACGACGCTCTACGTAAGTACATCGCAACCGCAATAGAGAAGTAGAAACAATAGTACGGGCTAGGTTGGCACGAGTACTGATCGCTACCACATTTGGAGATGGCGTGGGCTTTTGAAGGTTCAGTTTCTGATGATGAGAAGACGGCGCTTACGGCGTAAGTTTAATTCTTCCATATTTTGATTGTATTCTTGGTGCGGTTCCCACTATTCTGACACTTAGGCGCCGTTGTACGGCGTTCTCGCGCTGGATGCTATGCCCGCGTGCTAAGTTGACACGCTGTTTGCTACACGTGCCCCGACAGTTCGCGTTATTATAAGGCTTGAATCCAATCAGGATGGATCTAACCAACTCTGCTCCCGTCATTGTCTATGGGCTCAGAAAACTCTACTGTAATTGATCACCTTCAGAGGAATCCACACTACTACCTCTCCGGCGGCGATGCTTATTTTTTAGTATGTCTAACGAATCATCCTCGAGAGACCATGACACTTAAATTGATTAGGTTGAAAATCAGATATTTCGGGTCCATCGATATTTTTTAGAACGTGAATCTCATGTATTCCAGGAATGGTTCCAGGGGCCGCAGGCCCCTGGTGCTTTTCGAAATGGAGAGAGTCGAAATGGAGAGAGTGAATCTGCCGCGATTCTGCTGCGAGACGTGACCCCCGCAGCATTTGAAAAGCTGCTTGATGTTTTTTATAATCCGTTAGTATTTGTTTCTCAAAATACGAGTTTTTTTTACGAACGTTTTTTCTCCAGAAAGTACTCTGTCTATGGTTGGCCAATTGAAGATTGGATAACGATTATTCAAGTTGCGCAAAAGTGGGAATTTTCCCAAGTCCTTGAGTTGGCTTTACGGGAACTCGAGAAGATTGAAATCCCTCTTATCTCTCGCATCGCCTTATACCAGCGCTTCGACATTGACCGAAGCCACCTGCTTCCTTTGTATGGGAAGTTATGCACCCGACCCAAGGCCCTGGATTACCAGGAATCCAATGCCATTGGGTTGGCGACTACAGTTGTTATTTTCAATGCCCGCGAACGTCTCCGGGCTAGACCATTAAAAGACGGTAAGAGCCTACTTCCCGCTGAATTTCAGGACAGCGAGGTATATATGGTTCTTACCGATCTTCTTGTAACTTCTGGCTAGACAGGTGAGATGATTCGATTATACATCATTGTGTTATGGAATGCTCATTGGTTTTCGGTCACAGGCATCCCCAGTCAATGCTCGGCCATAGAGGGAATAGTAGATCCGAGTCAAGGTGGTCTATAATTTCTTGGATGATTATTCACGACGAGATGAATTATAGTGGTATGAGGGTTTGTGTATCAATAATATTTCAGTGTCAGTTCTGAGTCTTTGTGAAACCTTGAGTATGTCCGAGGCTTTCTGGTCAATTAAGCAGAATTTGAATCTCGGAAGAAACAGAAGAAACAGATAGTTGATGTAATTCATATAGGTTTCTTATACATGTGCAGCGTACTACGTCCTATCGGGATTCTGCAACCTGTGACTGAGTGTACGAAAAAATCTTCGCGGGATCCAAATAAACGTAGTATCTCCGTGACAACTCCGCGACGTGTGAGACGGTCAGGTCGTAATTTTGTTACCTTGCTCCCTGAGACTACTTAACATGTAAAGGTACTAAAAAGAATCACATAATTATGACACGAGTTCAAATGACAGAAACTATATCACTCCGATCATGACTTTTTGGGTGCACATCAATGGCAGAAGACTGGATAGACGTTGATTATCGTTAAGAAAGATACATAACGTTCATAGAGCCTGCAATCATACATAAATAGCATTACATTACGCGACGTAAACAATAGTTTTGATCCAAGATGTTAAGTGTATGGGTAACAAAGGTATAGATAGATAGACGTTGAATGCATAAGTGTGTAGATCCAAGATATCAAAGCCAGAACAAGACGAGAGGTATCAAAAAAATCAGTAAGTACATGTAACGAATCCAACCGTGAGTGAACAAAAAACTTAGCGATGCCCCATCGGCATATCAGGTATTAAATAGTGGAGTTTGCCATCTATTCCACCAGGCCCAAAGCTGCTTTTGTGTGCCAAGACCGGGCCTTGCTGAGCGATTTCCTCATTACTGGCATTCGCCGAACTCGTATTACTTTTGTCTTTGTTCCGCAGTTTTGATTTTGATTTCGACGAGTGTGACTTTAAGCTTTCGCGCTCGGCGCGCGTCGAGTAGTGGCCGAATGACGCAGCTGCAGCATGGGGAAGTACGGGATCAGCATATGGCTTAGTAGCTGGGGTGACGGGAGATGATGTCACGGTGGACGTTGCAGGGAAAACGGAGTCGTCGTAGGCGGGGACAGGCTTGCGTGCGGTCTTTCGCGAGGACTTTTGTACACCTGTCAAGGTAGGGCGAGTAAGGGAGGCGGGAGACAAGACGGGAGGGGTGGCGAAGGGTGACTGCGTGTAAGCTGATGTAGAGTCGAGCGACGAGCGCCACGAAGTTGATTGCGAGTGACGGTAATCGAGGGCAGCCGGAGACGCAGCGCGTGCGTTGTTGTTGGGAGCATGGAGATTTGTCTCTGGGCTCCGATATGGCAGCGTGGAAAGCATCATCTCCTCGGATGGTGAACTTGAGAATTTTTCCTCAGAAGGAGATCCAACATAGCCACCATAGTTTGCAGAACCGGAACGTGAGAGGTAGGAGTTGATATCATCCTGAGAGGCACCAGCGCCATGCGATTGACGCCCAGCGTTCACATAAGTTTTCTGGACATTGGAGTCGGATGGAAGGTGTGAGTCGACGGAAGCAAGGCCGCCCCAACGTCCACCTTCATCTTTGCCTCCAGGATTCCCAACACCAAGGCCACGCTTAGTAGAAGTGTGACCGTGGGGGCCACCTGGAGCACGGCTGTGTGTTCGCGATCGTCTCGGATAGACAATAAAGAAGAAATAGAATGCCACCACTGCAATCAAGACGACTGCGCCTGCTACGACACCACCGGCAATCGCGCCCTTGTTGACTGTATTGGTGGAGACTCCACCAACCGGAAAAGCTGTGGTTGATGTTGATTCAGATGACATAACACTGGAAGTGATGGTTGTGAGGTCGGACGACGTGGCCGATGAAGACAAGGTGGAGGTCAAGGAGGTCGAAGATGTCGGAGAAGATGTTAGACATGAAGTGTCGTTCCCTTCTTGCACAGTAAAATCCCCAGAACGTTGGATGTATGGGGGGACAGTTAAGGACGTACTAACAGCCAACAAGCGATATCGTCCTGGCGGGACCGGAAGAGATGTCAAGTTGAGCATTCGACGGAACGGAGATATAGACGATGCGATTTGAACATTGACATTGTCGCGGCGATACAAGCTGCGTGCATTAGGGTTGGAACTATCCGCGGACGTTGGTAGTGGTCCCGATGTCGCGGTCTGGGTCACGTCTGTAGCAATGATGAAGAACGAAAAGGGACCGTCCGGACCAGTATACGTCCAGATGAAGGACGCTGAGGCGCAGGACGTCAACTCCGCATTGGAAACATTAACAAAGGTGAGGGACGGCAAGTCCTCCTGGCGTGTCGCAAGATGCTGCGTAGGGACCTGTGTCACGACTCTCCAGGCCAAGGTGAGCAGGATGAACGATGACATTCTCGAGGACATCGTCAAAAGCATCGTGGGCGTCGAACACAGCCGTGGGCGGTTCCAAGTGGCCGCTAAAATAAGGTTGCCACACTGATAAGATCACTCATGCCGCTTAACACAAGATTGTTCTGTATTCTATTGTTTTCATTTTATACATGGTCCAATGGTCTAGTGGTTATGATTTCTGTCTTACAAAGGTTTCTAGCCTTTCGGGACACAGAAGGTCTCCAGTTCGATCCTGGATTGGACCACTTTTTATTTGTTGGCACATTGTTCTCTTGTTTTGCCGTACGAATACTTCTTGAACCAAGACTACTTCCCCTGGACACATTTGATTTATGTCCCACGTCTGTCTCTTCAGCATCTTTCATTCAAAGTCATCGACCTTGTCTTAGCCTATAATGAAATCTACAAGGTCGTCCGAAACTAACAAATGGCTCTGCGTTTCATCCCTTCTGTATCATCTTCCACACACAGCGGAAACAAACCCGGTAAACAGGTGGCGGCAGTACGGTCATTCCGAAAATTTCTAAACCATAACATCTACATCGATGACCCACTTCTGAATCCATTATAGTCCAAATGATTGCAATTGTGACCCGGTCCTCTATGTCTATTGGTCAGCCATAACTCCACATCTAGCAGAGAATGGTGTACTTGTCGCCGTAAACTACAAGCTTCCCACCTCGTGACGCGCTCACTAATAAGAGAGCTGGATGCGCTAAACAAAATCCAAGTCAAAGACAAGGGCCAACGCGTCGAGTATCGCTGGCAGGAAGCAAGTTGTCGAGGAAACAACCAAGGCATTTGGCAAAGTCGACATTGTGGTCCACACTGCATATTTAGCAAACCCCTAGCCGATTTTGACGAAATTCTTCGATGATCATATCAATAGTAACGTTAAATGGCCCCCTGTTTTGGCACAAACTACCGCGTCACTTCTTCCGTTCCGTGCATCCCATCACAGTCATTCGTCTAGTCACCGTCTTGTCTCGTTGTGACAGCTGGCAACCGTACCATCTTCTCTGGCATAAGCCTAATAGATGCACCTACAGTCTTTCCGAACGCCCTTGCTTATGTAGCTTCTAAAGGTTGGTGACCGTTGGTGACCGTTATTAGAGTGCTCCTGTCTTCAATAAAACTGACATTCTCATCAGGTGCTCTGGGGGTACACGCGGAATCACTGTAAATATGGTGTCCCCTGCCCTTGTACACACGGATCTCTTCCGCGTAGGCAAGCCAGAAGCTGTTATTGAAGCCATCGCAGGCCAGAACCCCAATGATCACACCTTGTCTACCAGAAGAGATCGTACCTATGGTGGTGTTCCTGTTCAATTCCGCGGCGCAATGGGTGAGTGGACAGAATAAATGGTGTAATGTATGTGGTTTCAACTTAATTCTCCCCGTCCGAGTCCTTCTCACTCAGGTCGAACGATGGCCTCATCAGGAATCTATGGTGTGAGTGTAGTCTAAAATATTTATCGCCTCCGATGATAAAGCAAACGTCGTTTTGACCTCAAGTTTGTGCCTCGGCATACCAAATTCTAACCAAGGCCTTCGAGCCGCGAATGATTTCGTCTTCCTTCAAATTTTGTCTCCATCGTGGTGATTGGCCAGCACCAGATCGGTTACGATTCAAGTTATGTATTGATTTCATCTAAGTACCCAAGGTTGCCAAATACAAAATACATTGCTCTTCAAGAAACTTCTGTATTGCTTCTTTGTTCTTCTCCTGCCTGTTTGGCTTTATGCTCTCTCTCCCATGGGGTAGACTCCCTGAAACCTGAGTATATCATGGGCCTAGATCAAAATCAAGGTCTCCGCTCCGGTCGACTCGAGTAATTGTAAGCTTTGATTCATTCGAAGCAGAACAACTTATCGCAAGTGTAGTGCTCTGATTGATTATTGTCATGCCTAACGTTGCTCACATGTTCACTATGCTTTTGGAACCCCAAACCCTAGTCGTCTAAATTCATGCTCACACGACTAAGGAGAGCTGTCTCGCAAATGTACCTCCCAATTTTCTTCCCAGATTCTCTCAAGCACAACGCTTGGAAAACCGATGCAATTTATCCGTAATGCTGTCAGTTCAACTAAGTTGTAGACAAATCATGATCTCGACGCAAATCCCTTTCAAAAGAAAAAACCCACACTGGAGGCTTAGTCCTCAGTACTGCCTTGACAGCATGCGAGCTCGCGTGCTTTATATCTAGTTTCCAGATCTCTGGGTATGTATCATGTTTCGGAAATTGTGCCAATGTTGCCATTGATGAGGAGGTAATATTCCGAAGGTGACTTCACCGGCCAACACTACATTTCTCATGGTGTCATCGGGTCACTCACCACTGAGTCACCAGGCTGCGACTGGTGTGGTCAGCCGAAACAGTTATATAAACAATCATATCCGTCTACGTCTACTATATTTGTAGGTCAATGCTAACTGTCGGCCGTGACATAACCTATCGCAGCAAGCTTCCACTCGGACGTCGCCATGTGCCATGCAAGGGAGCGGCAGCGTAAATGGCATCTTGCGTCCTGTCACTGAGGCTACTTGTTGGCTGAAAGGAGAGAGATGCATATGCTCAAGTAACTCTCGGCGACGAGGAAAGTGGAGAACTTGAATGCTACGTAATTTATTGATCACCTCCACAAGACAATAAGAGATATTTAATTTCTGCCTTACCAAGGGAATTTATTGAAACATTGATAACACGGCATCTAAGGTCTTTGGGCTCAATACGTGATGTCATATGTACTATGAAGTCATTAAAATCTTATATTTAGCATGTTACATATGCACACCGTCGCTGAAAGTGCAGAAGCACACGAAAGTACACAGCGTCGCCCTTCCTTGGCATCTTATGAATCCATCCATCAGTCGCAGAACGTCGCACTGAAGTGGTCTGAGATCCTCATCCGTGCGATTCCTCGGATTTTTGTGTCCACTTTGTATTAATGCATCCCGTATTTTCTCCTGATTGCCGTCCACGCGGGCGCCACAGCCGAGTTACCAGCAACAAATACACCCATGTCTTGTTCAGGTATTCGATTGATGTCGACCCTGTTCCAGTAGCGAGAAAGTACATAAGTTATATCTTGAGCATCACCTTCCGAACCACGACTAGGAAGGGAATTGAGATCCATCATAACACGGACAAATGCAAATCGTACATTATCCAAGTCTTCAGCTTTGCTCGAATGAATTCTGAGATCGCAAGGAAAGGAACACCTTGAAGCTTCATCACAGTCATGTTATCGAGGTGGCGAGGCCCTGACTCTCCAGCCGCCAGTATCTCAATCTATGAGCAAAAGCGATGACATCGAAAATTATAGGCCATGAAGAATTGCTTACGTCGATAGACGGGATTAGGCGACGATATGTGGCGTGGAGTCTAGACATGTATAAGGTTAAGGAGACCGATAATCTGAGAACTCGCCAACCTGTTAGTCCATGGCGAATTTATCGTCGTAAAGTCAGTGTTGTCTGCAAGTGCGTCACGAACCCGCCGGAAAGGGTGCGTATGGCCATACTCGACTATGCAGAAGATCTCCTGGAGAACAAGAGTAAGGATATGAACTCTACCCAAACGATGATAACTTGCGTGAGCCTGAGGAGCATTAGATAGAACTGCAGTCAGGAGATTGCCGTAGAACGCATGGGGAACTCCGCCCTCGCGAAGGATATATGAGAGAGCAGTGGCTGCTTCCAGGAGTCTTCGAGTTTCGGACATGGTGGCAGGAAGAGGAGGAGGAGAAGGGAATAGGCCTAGTGCATGTTATAAGTCAGGAAAGATAGAGGAGAAGAGCCCGACAGAAGCTGAATATTAATAAATGTCTGTGACGAGCATTGCCGAGAAAAGATGCCAGATTTTGCCATTGCATCTGGTAGTCAGAAACGGGTATGTCCGATCAGACTATGACTGCGTTGTGGCAACGTTCCAGGTCCGAACAGGGGAAACCTCGTGTACATAAAAACTTTGGAAGGGTGAAGGGTGAACAAATCGGAGCAGATTTACATTCGATCAAAAGAAGTTTGGGCAAAAGATGGGGGAACACACAGCCGTCCGCGGCTGAACCTGGCTAAGCCCAAATTAACACGCTAAAAGTGAAGTTACAAACAGGATCGATATGGAAAATTAAAAACAGGATCGATATGGACATGTTTTTTTCCGGATGAGGAAAGGTCACGTTGCCATAACGGAGTGATGCGTTACGGTCATGTGAGTCACGCGCTTGCCGCTCAATTTAGAATTTCAACAAGTTCTGCGCTTCTCGATACTTCTCAAGGGCTTCCATCTTGCGCATGCATACGGGATTCTGTGCTACAGTTTTCAGTCATGTAATGCGAGCATTTCGCAAGGTTGCCGCCCCGAACCGGCGCTATCCTATCGGTCAACGATGTTATACGATGCTCTACCAACCGAAGGCCACATGTCTCCCATTAGGGACAAGGAATAGATCAAGGGCAAGCCAATCGCTGTACCGGGCTATTTCTTGGACTCCGAAAAAACGTCCTGACGAGCACCAGCCTATTGACCAACTGCAGGATGAAGCAACCAAGGCTGCAATACTTGAGAAAGTTATGAAAGGCCGCCAGCCAACGGACCTCATGCTGCGCTGTGGGTGATTCAGTAACAACACCCTTCTTCGGAGCTCAATTTTCTCTTATAGGTACTATCTTGGATGCTGGAGGTCAGTTTGACTTGCTCATGGTAACGTATCAATAAAACCCCTCCCCAGGCAATGTCAAGACAATTTCAGGTCAATTTAAAAAAGCCGATCTTAGCTCCGAACATGGTCTGAATGTGAGGAAGATCCTCTCATCTTCCATCCTGACCCTGGCTCACACTCACTTGGCAAGCCTCGTGATCTGCGCAAAATCGACTCACGAGTCCCAAATCTCGTCCCAACTATACTTGTACGAAAGGAAGCTATACTGGTACGTCTCTAAGCACTCAAATTGCCAACTACTGACCTCGATAGGTGTAGATTAACATCCTTCATATTAGAGCTCTTGTCAAGTCTGATGCTGTCATTCTCTTCGATACCTATGGCTCCGCCAATTCACGGCTTCATTCTGTATTCCTCTATCATTTAGAGGTCAGCGTCTCACTGTTTTCCTCATTTGGCTATATTCTCATCCTTCCACAAACAGCACAACCTGAAGTCTAAAGGTTCTGGATCTCCTTACGAGTTTAGGTATTCTTTCTTTGGGTTTGACTTACATATAACGTTAACATTTCTTCCAGAG